CAAGCCAGATTTAGTTCTGGAGTTCTACAAAAGTTCTGCAGACTTGAGAATGCCAGAATGAAATAGAGACTGAGAAAGCTCACAAAATTACTCAAACATAAAAGATAAAGCTTTAACAGAAGCTTCAAAGAGAGCAGATAGCTAGAGAGACTGAAGAAAAACAGATTAAATAAGAGACTGCCCATATAAAGGCCCACAAGCAACAAGAGACTGAAAAGCTTGAACATACTATATAATAAGAGATCTAGTGTATTATTCATGAGGAGAAAAAGACTTTACAACAAGCAGAGAAGGAGAGACAGACTGTTAAATATGCTAGTAAATATCAGCAGTCAGAGCTTCAAGCACTAACTTCAAAGTGCCATCAGCAGAGCCTCTCTACAAAAGAATCTCATTACAGCAAGTCTATATAATCTTTCTAAAGCAGTAGTAAGAGCTCTACTAGCCTCTCTAACAAGTCTTTAGACTCTCTAGCTGAGAAATCTACTGCTGACATTCCTTTACAATCTTTTCTATCCATCCCTCATATCTCTCACTCTGGCTGCAATATCAGGCTGTCCACACATTTATTTTCATAGCCACACTAATTTCTATGCTTTAAAGAACACACTCATTTAATATTTAATAGCTAGTTTAATAATAATAATTTGTTGTTGAGATAATTAATAAATTTGTAGCATGGAGCATTGGAAGGAATTTGGCTTGTTGAGTGGTGAGCCACCTTAAGTAGTTAACGAGTTAACTAGCTAGTGAGCGTGTGGCGCTTTAACCAACTGACGATGGGCCCGATTGTCCAGCTTCCCTTGCTACCCATCTACCAGTCGGTAGCTCCGCTTTTTCAATAAGATAGAATTGTCCTCTCTGTACGGAGTACGGTGTACTACTCCATACTTGGTATATATATATATATATATATATACCTCTTCTGAGGTCGTAATATGCATACTTCCCCCACATGTGCGCCTGCGCGCATCCCTGCAACAGGCTTTGGATTCAGCGCTAATCAAGTTGAGCTTGCTGGGACCGGCTGCTTTGTGTAGACCTGGTAACACTGGCCTCGCGGATTAAAGAGCCCAGCCATCCAGCCCTAGGAAACCTACAACCAATTGAAAGCGCATATATGAGCGACTCGGAAACCACTCGTGTATCATGAGCTACTATGGCGAATACTAGACTGATAGCTTTTGTGCACAGTTTGATATTCCCCTATCCTCTCCGAGTGCGAAGCGATTAGCTACCCTCCTTTAGGTTGTGGAGTTTTGTGGTATCGCCGGCACAAGAGATACTCTATCAACTCAAATCCCCCGTAGTGAATTTTGTTTGACGACACAGATAGAGCTCAATTTGCTCCATAGATATTGATCATGAGGTAGTGGATGTTGTGATCCCAAAAAAGGGGGTAGTATCATCACAAATTATATTTGTAGAGGCTGGTTGTCCACCACTCCTAGTCCGGTTAATCTTGACCTCGACCGGAGGCTAGTCTGATTCTTCCCTCAGACCAGCGACTTCTTATCCTCTCTATCAATGATGGCAAGCCAAAGGTCCAATGACACAGCATACCAGCGACGAAGCCAATTCCAGCATTCTTGAATGCAACCAGCAATCCAACCGTTACGATCATCACTGTCCATCTCCGCTTCCTCTCTTCCTCGGTGAGTTTGACCTCAGCGAGTCTCAGAGTCGGTAAAGAGCTTGAACGGTCATTGTTTCCTAGGTCCCATGCACGCGTAGTGTTGAGACTCTCCCCAACGCTCGCAAGTTCTAAACCTGCGGCGATCACCATCACCGCCAGAAATGCTGTCGGGAATGAATACAATAGATCGAGAAGGGTATTTCCGAGGAAGATGCCAACGATGAGCTTCACAGCCCCAAGAAATATGATGCTTGCCCCTGAACGAGCACCGAAGCGGTACTGTGCCGCCAGGCCTCCCGACCCGTGACAGACGGGCATGCATCCCACACATGTTCCCACGAGATTCATCATAGCCACGCTGAAGCCAATCGACGTGATAGATGGAGTGTGAACATCAGGGAGCAGATCTCCTGCGAGATGCACCACGGCAATGATAGAATTCAGCGTAGTAAGCGGAATCTGACCGATGCCCGCCTGGACGATCCCAACTTTCCAATCGTCCGTTGTGGGCTGCACAGCCCTGGGTATCCAAATGCTAAAGTGAGGCAAGTTCCCATGTCCCGAAGTAGCCAACGAAACAAATGCAAATACCAATCCCAGCAGAAACAGGATCAGCCCGTACGGCACACGACGGTAGATATTCGTGACCAGCAACCCTACAAGGGCGGCAATCACCCACAGGTAATTGTCTGCCCACCGCGGTTCAATCCATCCCATCTTACCCTTCAGCTTGGCGCCGGCAGAAATCACCAACGACAGCCCGGCACCAACCTGGATGCCCTTTACCACAGGGATCGGCACCGCGTTCGCAAACCATCTCAAAGCGCCGGTGGCGGTAAAGACAAATATCACCACGCCGGCGAAGATGCCGGCGGCCGCGATCTGGTCGCCATCAAAGTCTCGAGCGATGGCGACGGCAGCAATGGCTTTCATGGGTTGCACGGGCAGCGGGATACCGAAGAACCAGCCAGTGAAGATGTTGTACAAGCCGGAGAAAACGAGGGTGGCGGGGAGCGAAATGGAGTCATTGACTGCCAGGGCGATGAGGATGGGCAGAAAGGTGCCGAGATCACCGAGAGCTCCCGAAATCTCGGTCAGGGGCTGACCGCGGAAGGTTGCCCAGTTGTGCGAAGAGAAGTGACTGAAGCGCATAGTCTGATCGGTAGGGGAAAACGAGGTTAACTGAACATGTAACCAGCGAGTTGAGATCTGGGGGGGAAAGGATGAATATTCAGCATGGACCTAGGGCTCTAGGCCGGGATAAGTACCCAGAGCATCGGAACGGCCCATAACGGCGCCTAGCGTTAGTAACCCACCATCATGACCTTCGAACCCAAACTAGTTACCGAAAGGAACAAGCAACTCGTTGATTGAACCCTGGCATCTGAGAGTCGGCTTCCCTGAGAGTAACTTTTTTGGAGCGCTTTTTTCAGTCTTCCAAATCATAACTAACTAACTAACTAACTAGTCACGTGGCTGAGAGTTGCTCCCGAAAGGTTAAGCTTGACGCGCTGCATCTTGGAGACCTGTCGTATGGACGGAGTACTCAAGTACACTTCCACGGCACGGGCTTCTTTGGTAAAAATGACAGAATGTCTGCTCACCATGAGCATCAAGCATCTCTTGAACAAGTCCTTGACTTTTCTCCACTCCCGCCGTCCCTGAACACTGATGAAGTGGCACGGGCTAGAGGCGTCTTCAAGAAGCTCATAAGCCACTGTGAGCCAGTACAAAGGAGCAAGCCATATAAGAGGGTGACTCTAGCTCGCTCAACATATGAACATGTCCAGTCACAGGAGATCTTTTTACATCAGTTTTTCGTCTTTCTTGACGCCCAAGAACACGCCAGTGAACCAGACTTTGAACGGGGAATATCTCGATTTTCCGGCTTTGATCCTGCTGCTTCCGTCTCTGAGAAGATAGAGGCAGAAAAAGCTGTCAACTCATTTGCAGAATACCTATTCAACAACTTCTTTTCACCGTGTATGTATAACTACTTCTTTTCGGGCCCTACATGAACTCTGTCTTATGCTTTCTTCATAGTGAAAGCATCAGGGAATAAAACATCGCAACCAACCCCAGCAGCGTTAACATCTTCAGTCGAAAATGTGGTTGGAACTCTTGGAAGATTATCGGTTCTCCGCCGCGATTGTTTGATTCGTGATCACCATCGATGTGTTGTTACGCGCATGTTTGATATGCGAGAAGCCGCAAGAAGATTCGACAAGGACGGGACAAACGCGGAGGACGACGATGGTTCTACGTTGGTTTACACTCCTGGACAATTCGAATATCTTGAAGTTGCACACATAATTCCTCATTCAATCATGTCATCAACGTCAACAGGAACTTCAGCAGAGTTGGTGCGTAATCCCTTCACCCTTATACCAGACTTTTGTATGGAAAAAGGTCAAGACCATCCTCGGTCAAATGTCTGAAAGAGGTCAATTTGCCTACGTGACTGGTCTCCATTTTCTAACTTGACTTCTTTCTGTTAGAACGAGCCCAAGAAGAATGCTCTTGCAATACTGCGCATGTTTGACCCAAGTGCGATTCATTTGATTGAGGGCTCTGATATTGACCGTTCGACAAATGCTATTTCTCTAACGCTTGGCCTCCACCAGTTTTTTGGCGACTTTAAGTTTTATTTTGAAGAGATGGATCCCACTACCTATCCCCAGCACACCTACAGAATAGATTCCAAGAAAACAAACCCATTCGCTCGTCCAGAGGGCCTTCCAGTTACAAGGACCTTGTTTCTTTCGCCTCACCATACCATTGACCCACCGTCCCGGAAATTGCTGGCCATCCACCGAGCAATTTGTGTTATTCTTCATCTCAGTGGTGCTGGTGAATATATCGATCGAATCATGCGTGACATGGAGGAGGCCCATGTGAGAAGTGATGGCTCTACAGAGCTTGGCCGCATTGTCTCCCTAAAGTTGGGCAGTTAGCTTGGTGGAGTCTCAGCATATTATCCATTTCCTTTTGCAGCTGGCGTGTACAGAGTATGGCGTGGAGATCCTCTGTTAATGTACTCCGTACCCCGTACTCTGTAGGCGAGCCGGTTATAGTTAATCACTGTCAGTTGAGTAGTTATATTAGAACAGTATATTTAATTAATCATACGATCTTTCCAGAACTTTCCTAAGTGAGTAATTCCTCCAGCCCACTAGCTAAGTTACCAGATCGTCCAAAATCCCGTACAGCAGGATCACGTGGTGATAACAGGATGAGGTCCGTTGTTATCTTTGTGCTGACACCGGAGTCCAGCTTGATGTCAAGAGCACAATGCGACGCCCCCAGCATTCAATAACTTTCCTCATCATCGCTTGTCGATAATCAATTCCATCCTCTGGCAGACATGGATCCCGATGCTGCACCTCCCGACACAGCGCCCAGCGCTTTCAATTACATCCTCAGCTTCCTCCTAGTCGGGATCGCATGGGGTTTCACAACGCCCTTCATCCGCCGCGCCGCCGTGGAATTTAACGCGAGAAACGAGCAAAAGACACAAGTTGAACGTGATGTGGGGGGTGGGCGAATGACAAGAGGAGGTTCATGGATTAAGCGGAAACTCACGTCACTGTTTTGGACGGTTGTAAATCTTCTGAGAACACCTGGATATGCGGTGCCATTGTTATTGAACCTCTCAGGAAGCGTATGGTTTTTCTTGCTAGTCGGAAAGCACGGTACGGAGTACAATTCCCACGATGAGCACTTGGAACTCGTGGGGAGAGCCCGAGCTAATTCCGCTGCAGAGCTGAGTTTAACTGTGCCGATTACCAACTCCATGGCGTTCTTATTTACGGTGGTGGGGGAGTGGTACGTGGAGGGGAAGGTCATTTCAAAACGTATGTTCTATGTTAATCTCAGTATCCTCCGTTTAGGGTTCATTTTTATACTTACTAACTCGGCAATTGTCCATGTTAGAAACTTGGCTGGGGATGCTACTTGTCCTCAGCGGCATCGCCTTATGTGTGCACTCAAAGAATACGTAAACATGCTCGAAGTAGCTAGAAATTTTTTCTATACCAACTTCTATCCTCTCAATTCTGCTTTATCAAAATACCCTCACAAGAAGCAGCAGCAGTTTTGGCCTTGGCCCGAGGAATTCCGTGGTGTTTATGCCTTCCCAGCCTCTGAATTGGAATCGTATGCGTAAAGGAAGAAGGCGACCCGAGATAAAACCCGAACAAGGGGCTGAATTTGGGGACGACGACCTCATAGGCATAATCGGGTATCCTTCGCGGATCAAACCCAAGCTGATGCCGTAAGATCATGCAACTAAGGCTTATTCTTGTTCCCTGATCTCATTGTCCTTTCATTGTTCTCGTCAGTCTCATCATCCCTGGCACCTTTATACTTGTTATCATCCTCACTAGTCTTGCTATTTTACATTCTGACTTGTGTGGTAATGGGCGATACTGCATCCAAGAAACGATTCAAGAATTGGAAAAGAGCTCCATGCCTTTTGTGAATCATGAAGATACCCTCACAGTAGGAGAACCATTAGTAATAGCCTATTCCAACGGGCGGACCCAATGGATATTGCACGATTCAAATGCCCTTGATATTCACAGGTTGTTTGTTTTGAAAGTTTCAGAGTCTTTCATCCACATCTAGGCATGTACAACCACATACCCTCCTGTGTGAGCACTTCTAACAAGGATGGGCTGAAGGAGTCCAGATTCCACCCATATTCAAGGATCACTTCTATGAGTTGCGATGCCTGCTTTGTCAGCTGAGTGCAGCGAATAAGAAAAGTTGGCGCTGAGGCAAACATGGTGTGTATCAACATTGCCCAAGTAGATCTTTATTGAGAACCCGTTTAAACTCTCAGTTGCGTCTGGTTACTCTGAACCATGACCAACTTTCCCAGCCATTTCGTGTTGCTAATGCGGCAGATGATACTGTAAGTTGTTGGAGGACGAGCTGAAATTCCTTACGATCTTGTCAAACGCCACCAAGCTCGAGGATGCTGTGACGTTAAAGAAATTCGAACCGATCTCGTGAAACTGGGTGGGGGTGCACCGGTGCAGCTGCCTGTGATTCTCCAGTAAGAGTTGTGGAGGGCTCTGAGGTACTCTAGTAGGCTGTTGGGGTTAATCTTAAATGGTTCTTGTACTCTGTACAGAGTACTGGTTGTTATCATGCATCTGATACAGAATGGAGCTGCCGCGGGCGTTAAAATTCTATTCCTAGTACGGAGTACTCCGTACGGAGTAAGTACATATTATTCTTCTTGTAGATCCATCAAAACTGAAAAAACAAGCGAGGCCGAAGCTCCGTGAAGCCACACTCTGCCAACTCTCTAAAAATAGAGACCGTTCGGGTATGGCGCTAGAGCAAAACAGGACTAGATGCATCGCTCCTTAGCTTGTCAGCTGCCGAGGCTCGACAGGGGTAAGCCTAACACTTAGCCACAGGCTGGAGCAGCACACGATGGTCTGCGAGCAGCTATCCCCGACAACGATATCTTTCACTTGCCTGACGATGTCGGCTCAGACACCGTATCAATTGCAGTGTTATAGAAAGCAAGAATTGCTATCCGTCAATCCAAATGGGATCTAAGCGGAAAATCCACTCTCTTTTCAGATTACCATGTTCCGCAGTCTTTTCCACCGTCCGCCATCACGAGCACGCCTGCGACGACTGAGATGGCTACGGTTGCTTTTGCTGGGGTTTATCACCTTCTTCGTCATTGATCTTTGGCGCATCTCTCAATCCGGTTCTCCCTCGGTCATCAAACCAGCGCCTCCTCTAGATATACGGCATCAGGAGAGGGTTTTTATAGCCAGCATCCATTGGAACAACGAGTCTATTCTTCGCTCGCACTGGAACGATGCGCTGCTGGATCTTGTACAAAAGCTAGGACCAGAGCACGTATATGTTTCGGTTCTGGAGAGCGGGAGCTGGGATGGAAGTAAAGATGCGCTGAGGGCCCTAGACACTGAGCTGGAGAAGCTGGGAGTGGAAAGAAAGATCGTTTTGGAAGATATCACACATATAGATGAGATCCAACGTATGCCGTCATCCGATGAGCCGGGCTGGATTTGGACTGTAAGAGGCAAGAAGGAACTGAGACGCATTCCGTACCTATCACGGTTGAGAAACCGAGTGATGGACGAGTTGACAGCTCTGGCGTCGAGGACCGAGGCCAAGAGGACTTTTGATAAGGTACTCTGGCTGAACGATGTCGTGTTCACTGTAGGCAGACCTACCTCGATCTCATATCTGTTGACTAACCTTGGTCCATAGGCTCACGATGCCTTGAATATTCTAGGCACTCGAGAAGGAGATTACGCCGCTGCGTGCTCTCTTGACTTTTCCAAGCCACCAGCCTACTACGACACATTCGCTCTTCGAGATTCTTCCGGCGCAAAGGCAATTACTCATACATGGCCGTATTTTCTTTCGTCCATGTCTCGCCATGCCATGATGGCCGGGTTCCCCGTGCCGGTACAATCATGTTGGAACGGAATCGTCGCTTTCGATGCCACTCCGTTTTATGAAAGGCCTCCTCTCGTATTCCGTGGCATCTCCGACGGCCTAGCGAAATATCACCTTGAAGGCTCTGAATGCTGTCTGATTCATGCCGACAATCCCCTCACGCCGGTAAAAGGTGTGTGGCTAAACCCAGATGTCCGTGTTGGATATAACGAAAAAGCATACGCGAACGTTCACCCGCGCCACTCAGCCATCTGGCCCAGCGCAGGTGAGAAGCTTTTGGGCATATGGCAAAACAGAGTTGCCCGCTTGATCAATTTTCCCCGGAGGACGATCGAAGACATGGTCGTCTCTTGGAGAGTGCGTTCTTGGAAGGCGAATGGGCTAGAGAGGGAAGAGCATGGCGTCCATTGTCTCATTAATGAAATGCAGGTGCTGGTTGGAAATGGGTGGGCACATCTTTGAATGGAGTTTTGAGAAAGGTTTCGTCGCTTCTATATCCCGGATACTTTGAAATCAGACATCTACCAGCCATACCTGGAGTTTTTAAGCGTAAACCGAACGACTCCGGTTAACCCCTGGGACATGCAAGCTTGCCAACATATTTCAACTCGAGGGCTTGGAAATTCAACTTCTGGTGGCAAAACGAGAAGCATAAAACTAGTTACCCGGTGTAAAAACAAAACTTCTCTCATCCCACCTCTCAAGCAAGCTTCGCGAGGCAGTCAGGACTCATAGTTTGGGCGAATAAGACTGTCAACACATAACTTTTAACACTCGCCATCATCAATTACGGGTTTGTCTCTCCCGGAGCAGCTCAACCGCTCCCTAGGAATCCAGTCACTTTCAGGCCTTGGAGATCGCGCCATACTTTTTGGTGGATATCAAAGACGAACAGTGCGCACAACATTGATAAGAAATCATTTTGATTGCCCTCCCAGAGAATATTTATGAAGAGACTGAGCACCCCCTCAATTGGCAATGGAGTGACCCTGTTGTCAAGTGAAACATTTCAAGCAAAATGAAACAGAACAGAGACAGGTCATTTTCCCATGCAACACACCGCGTCAAAAGTGAAACTTCTACTTTTTGGTCAAGGCCCGAGAGAGCACACCAGCCAATCATGAATCCAACATGGATATCAAACTTTCTTCCTCCCGGTTTCCTGGTTCCCCCATTCCCTCTCCTTTGTCGCCTGGCTAAACCTGCCTGTCTCCATTTCCTCCCTTCCCTGCATCTGAATCTCCCGGTCCTTTGCTATACCTTCTTCATCATGTGCCATTCGATCAACCACCTCCCCTGCCTTACCACGAATCTGCTCACCTGCCCCCTATTCAAATGAGCCAACATGTCAGCACGCCTTCAGCAAGCATACAAAACCAAAACCTGATCTGAAAACCATACATGCACCCCGGCCATGAAGCCTTTCACACCACCTTCCCTCTCTGGCATCGCTGCTGTCCTCTCCCCGTGACTCCCTGCGCTCATAGGTGGCGCCGCACCCATCGGTCCCGTACTCGACCCTGCTGCCCGTCCCCCTTCAGATCTCTGAATTCCACCTACTCCCTCTCCCGCCTGCCCGGATCCAGCCATCCGGGTAGTTTCGCTCATGGTGCCTGTGGACGTGGTGGAAGGGGCAGATGGGTCAGTAGACAGGCTGGAAGTGGCGCCAGCGGAAGCGTGGGTGCCGTGGACGTTGAGAGCGTCACCGCCGGTGGTGAGGCGGGTTCCGGTGGGATCGGTGGTGGAGAGGGATGGTTTGGATGGGGGAATCTTGGAGTCGCCGTATTCGCGTTGGGCGGCCATGGGCGACGCCTTTTATTTCCTTTTTTAGTTTGGCTGCCGAACTAGTGAGAGAAGATGATTGGAATGATGGCGCTTGATGTGTGCGCGGTATACGCGATGGCGCCCCTGTCAACTCTTTGCTCGTGGAGTAGGGAGTCAGCTGGCACAAGTCGCCTCCTCAGACATCCAAAACCTATGCCTTACATCGCAGGCGGCTTGCAATTCCGAGCCTCTTGACGTCATCTCCAATTCCAGGAGAGCAGGATTCTGTCTCGAGCTTATCCCGGAGTCAATTGATGATAGGCTTCAAACCCTAAATGTAAATGCAAATTCACCGTAATCCGTGATGCCAAGTGACAGGTACCTCAGGCACCGAAGCGATATATCGACCCCTGGAATCTTGTTGCACAACCGGGGAAAATTTGCACACATGGCTTCAAAAGACTATAACATCGGTCGCAATACAGTAATTTGAAAATGAAAATGAACACCCCAGCATCAAAGAACAAAAAGCAACAGTTCTATTGTACATACATACATGCATCATGAAGGGCACTGAGCCCTCATAGAAATTATAGCATGCCAGGACATAACATAGGAGTCCAAACAATCACATACACCCATAATGCGATATCACAAACCAGCGCCGCTCAGCGAACCATATCACAATGGTGCACCGGTAATATGCGTGCAAAGGTACTCCGTATACTCGTCAAATCATTGTAAACCGTGCTCAACAAACGATATGTTTCCAACGAAGAAAAAGGGGTATCACATTTCAGCATGACGACTTGAGCCGGTAGACTAAGTCGCAACGGAAATAATCCGATTATACACCACGGAACTAAATAGCTCCTGTGTCAGTTATACAATCGTAATGGAAGTCGACGTTCGGGTAGGGACTCACCATTCTAACAACCAAGAACCACATGGCCCCGATAAACCTAAACAGTGACAACCCGGCAACACTCCACAACACAACGGCCATATAAATTGCGCTCCGCTGAGTCTCAGTTGACTCGTTCACATCAATTCTCTCCAAGCCAACGGCATTCAAGACCAATGCACCAAGCGCAAAATTGCAGAAGATCCACACCAAAACGACGGAACTTCGGAATCCTTTGTAGTAGTCTTCTTGTTTCTCCTCCTCCGTTGTCTTTCGAACTTCCTTTGGAGGTTTGGAAGCGAACTTCTGCAGCTCGGCGTCGTACTGAGCGTTGAGATCTCCGTCATCTTGCGGGATCTCAACGTCAACTTTACCACCGGGCTTGAGGTTAGCCGAAGGAAGCTTTTCGGGCTTGTCATCGCCTTTGGTTCCCCACGTGATATCATGGGTGTTACAGAAGGCATAAATGGTGAGGACGTTGATATATGTAGGAGTAAGAAGGATGTATTGAAGGAACTGTACGAGAGAGTTAGTTGGCCGACCTACATAGTATATGCCCATGAAAACTTACTGATGTAAACATATGCCACGGATCGAAAAACAGAATGGAAGCGACAAGCCAGAGCACGTACGTCGACATCAGCGACACAATCATCGAAAAGAATTGCAGGTTACTGAATATCGCAGAGAAGCTGAAGCTGCCATCCGCAACCTCGTGCTGTATGGACCTCACGGTTACATAGATCGCCGCAAACGTGAGATATATCATGATAATAACCCAGAAACAGGTCATGGTCATGTAAAGCTTATTCGATCCCTGTGGGCGATTCCCCAACGCCAGGACGAAGCACGTCACGAGGGTTGCGAGATAAAGCCACTCGAATACAACGCCCAAAACGTTTCCAACCTGTCCGAGAAGGTCTTTGGTTCCAAGGGAAGTTGTCAAGATGCGGAAGACAAGGAAGAAATTACCCTGAAAATGGTTAGCTGCCCCTGGCCCTCGTGTGTATGTATGTATGTGGGTGGGTGTGTGTGTCGCCGACTTACGATCGCAAACCATGCAAACAGCATATTGATCGTCTGATAGATAAATTCAATAAGCAGCATGAATTTTCTGGAGGCACTGTGATCGCTCCTCCAGATCTGGTAAAAGTGGGTGATAGCATAGACGGCAGCAAAGAAACTTCCATTCAACCAACGCCGGCGCTGAAGAATAAACTCCGCCATGCGATCGGGAACGTCAGTTTCACCGTTAGCGGACTTGACGTACTGCAAGATCCAGCGGCAGTTGCGCTTAGACACCAGTTCGAAGCAGAGAATTCGATCCTCTGCCAAGTACATATTTGCAGTGAAGATACCAGCGTTGGCACCATGCATCTTCTCACCTGCAAAGTATTTTTCTAAAGGACCTTGACCGTTCTTATCATTCTGAAGGGCCACATAGCGGTAAGCTGAAAAAGCACCTGGGAGCACGGAGATGAATCCAAAAGCCGACTCCAGTGGCTTGTCGAGAATATTGCTCATTTTGTACTCAAAGTTCTGAGTGGCAACGAGCGGATTGATCAATTTCTTGCCGTGGTCCAACATAACCTTGATCTCTCCACAAGCACCGCCGCACATTGGTTCCAGGTCGAAGGCGCGCCAAAGATGGTAGATGGAATCCTTTCCCGGTTTGGTACCAGCGTCGATGAGCACGCATATATTCGGGTCCAAGACTCGTCCGAACGCCTGGAAAAACCAACGGTGGGAATTGATTTTCTTCTGATTCTTTTCCTTCAGGCAAAACAGCATCTGCACCGGCATACCTCGGCGCGGCTTGAGGAGGACCTGGTTGCCTTTCAGTTCCATTCCCATCTGTGTTGTGTATTCGTAGATATGGGCAGTGACGTCCTTTCCGTTGACCTGTTGCTTCGCAATCCCGTCTTGATATACACCCAAACCGGCCAGAACGGCGCGCGTCCGTGGATTGATTTTTGCACGTCCGTCACTCACGACGCAGACGACAATCTTCTTCCACGCTTCCTTGCCCCAGGTCTTACTGTTTGTCCGAGAGCACATGTAATCGATGTTCTTGAAGACACCGATCATCGTTCGCGCAAAGAGGAAGTCATCTTCATTGTACATCGTAACGACGATAAACAGTTCAGTATGTCGGGGCTTGGCAAACAGCCTTTGGCGAAGGGTGAAACGCTCGTTGTAAAAATCAGCGGGATCACAGGTTGCGGCTGAGTATCGCATGTGCGTAAATTCATCGCGTTCCGGCGGCGCGGCGTGGTTGACCTGGCTCAGCAGCCTGGGAGGGATCGGGCAGTCAAGAACCAAGTTTCCGTTAAACAACTGAACCTCCTTCACGGTCTTCCATCGTCTTATCGGCGCCGGGCTTGGTGTGGGAAGCGTTGCAACAGAGCCATCGTTATAGCCTCCGGTCTCTGAATGAGGGGTCTCCCCAAAGGGACTGTCTGACTGTAGAATGGGGGCGTGGTCGTCGTGATACTGTTGCGGGTAATTTGTCAAGTCGTAGGTATCGACAGTGGATGGGGTGGGTTGGTACGGAGGGTTATAGTAGGAGTCGTGGTGGGCTTCAGGGGAGAGAGTATAGTCTCTAGGTGGCCCGGGAGAGGGTCGATAGGGATTATGTTCTTCAAAGGTCTCATTGTGTCCATAGGAGTTTTGGATGTTGTCGACAGAATACTAGAGGATCAGAAGCACGATGAGCCATCACCCAAAAAAAGCGGGAAGACCAAGGGCACACAAAGCCGGGGCAGCATACCGTGGGCTGGTCCAACAATCGATCGGCCGAGGGCATTGGGATATGGCCATATTGCTGGTATGGATCATCGCTCAGCTGATATAGCGGTCTGCCGGGGGAGGATCTGCGATGAGGATGGAGATTCTGAGGATCCATTACGGGTTCCGGGTCGTCGTCGACGACAGGATCTAAGGGAAAACAAACACTGGAAGTCAGTACTGGAGGTGAAACATCGGCTTTTGCTGCAGGCCTGTCGGTGAAGGCGGGTGGTTGTTGGAAACGAAACGAGCGGAGATGCTGCTATCGTCGAGAGCAAACACAAGGAAACAAGCAATCAGACTTCAAGATGGAGGGGAGGGGAACACAGAGAGAGAGAGAGAGAGAGGCAATATACGAAGTGCGGGATGACGTTTGCAAAGCGTCGTCAATACGGAGGAAGAGACAAGAGCAGGTTGCGCGGACAGCCAAGGCTCATGTTTCAGAGCTACCTGCGAGCAACCCTAGCTACGTTCCGGCAGAGATCGCGGTGCCAGGTCTTAGAGAGTGAAAGACGGTCAAAAGGAAGATGTAAAACAAGACGAAGGGACATTGTTCGGCGACGTTGGAGAGAGAAAGAAGGAAGCGCAGCCCTGGCCGTCGCGCCGGTGACGGTCTTTTGGCTTGTACAGAGCAGCGATGTTTTGCACTTACTGGGCAATCTGTTGTACGACATGGTGACTCTGGGGCAGCCTGATTGCCCCGGTGAACGAGTGGTCCAGAAGCAGAGCGAGTATATTTAAGGCGAGTCGCAGGTGTTATATCGATCGTTTGAGCGAGCGTGTGTGTTTTTTTTTCCCCCCCGCGCAGCGAGGCCGGTTGACGGGGAGATCACACGATCAGCAAAGGCAAAGACGGGCAGACGGAGAGACACAAGAGTCACAGGTAGCAGACATAGACAGACACACAGAGAGAGAGAGCGAAAAGAGAGAGACTGTGAGAGAAGCAGGCAGCAAAAAAGAAGAGCAAAAGAAAGAGAGAGAGAGAGAGAGAGAGAGAAGAGAGATTGTTCTTCAAGCAGAGAGAGAGACTCGCGATGGGCTTCAGGCAAAGCTTCACGGCGAGGCGCTGCACGCCAAGCACGCGTGGCTGAGCTTTCGTCTCGGCGCCAACCAGCCACGCTGCGAACAAGCATCCGGAGGACGGAGTCGTCGTGGGCCAGTTTGACGACGACGACGAACGACTGGAAGAGACAAAAAAAAAAAAAAAAAATGGGTTCTGGGGAAACTGGGCTCGTGTTTGCCCGTCCGCTTCCACGGTTCATCGCCCGATCCTCTCCGGGTTCGCAGCACAAACTCTCCCACAGCGGCTCACGACCGACTCGTCCGCTGCCATTGGGCAATTGGCTGTGAACCTCGCTTTACACACACACACACACACACACACACACACACACACACCCTCCTTTTGACCGCCCGCAACGTGTCTCGAACGACACAGCCAGAAACCTTACCCGCCGCCAGCTGAACGTCGCCCGCCGTCAACCTCCTCATTGGCCGCGTTCCCGCTTCCTGCAGCCATTCCACCTGCTCCCTGGAGTGCCAAGTCGCATCGCCCGCGCTTTCGCCCTTTTCGCCGTCTCACCAATCTCCGCTGCCGTCATGGCCCATACGCAGATGGTCCTCTCTCTTTCTGCTTCCTGAATCGCGGTGGGACTGTCAAGGACAGTGAGAGTGAGAGGGCTTTTTTGTCTCCTCCTCACCGATAGCTCCATCAGCTAGGTTAAATAACGATTATGTATGAATGTAATTAACTATGTAATTATTATATTTACTAACTAACTAGTTATAAGTACTTGGTTATGCTAACAGCTAAGCGCTGGCTCTTCTAGTATCGACTGTCCAGACACGTCCTGTCTGGATGGAGGAGGCCTCTCAATATATATATGTATGTATGCTATGTACATACACGCATACATTCATGTTCGGTGCGATCGACTTTTACGCAATCGGACCATAAAAGCTAAACTTCCCCTGAGGATCGTACTTCTGCTTCAGTTTCCGCAGACGGCTCTGGCGCCACTCCTGTGCTCCGAACCACTGCTGCGGCGTCTCGTCTCCAAACGCATAGTTCACGTACGCATGGAGCTCATTTCGCCCAGTTCCCCCGTGGATGATCTCACGGAGTCGCGTTCCCAACGTCGCAGCCTTCTCGTCGCGTTCCGCGCCCACACGCTCGTAGCTGAGGAGCGGTGCCGCCAGGATGCTGTCCCCCCGGTAGGCAAAAGCCGACGAGGAGCTGTCGATCGACCGCACTTTTTTCACCGAGTAGCCCTCAAACATGAAGATCGAGTTGAAAAACGGAGTACCGCTGTGCGCCTCGGACGCGAACAGCTCGTATGCCTTCTTCTGGGCTGCAACATTGTACGATTCCAGGTAGATGGGGAATCGCGGGTTGGCAAGCCCGGCCTTTTGGCACGGCGGAGACGTGATGGCGATGCCAGTCCACCTGGCGAGGTCCCTGTACGTTCCTACAAGGCGTTCAATGGCAAGCGGTCCGAGCTTCCGGAAAGGTTCTGTGATCTCGGGGTCCACGGCCTTGACGCCTTCTTGGATGATGTAGAACACGATGACGGGCTAGGCAAGAGAAAGACGGTAAGGGAAAGGGTTCGCTCAGGCAGAGAGAAAGAGGGAGCGAGAAGAAGAAGAGAGAGAGGGGGGGGGTGTTGCAAGTTCGTTATGCGTGTCTAACTCACTTTGTTCGGGTCAACCGTGGGAATGTTGAGCCAGTATGACCAGTTGGTCACATCGGCTCGTCTCTTGCCCTCCCGGAGGAGGTGCTCGTTGGTTGCTTGGTAGATGGCCTCGACTTTGTCGCCCCTGAAGGTGAGCGTCTCGATGGCCCAGTCGCGGTGCTCGATATCAAAGATCTTTGCGGTGGCCGAGGTGACGATGCCGAAGTTCTGGCCGGCGCCCTTCATCCCCCACCAGAGATCGGATTTTGGGTTGATTGTTCTCAAACTCCCGTTGGCCAACACCACATCCATCGAAACGAGCTGGTCAGCTATAAGCCCGTGGTGTCCCTGGAGCCAGCCGTGGCCACCTCCCAGTGCGGGTCCAAGGTAGCTAACACATTCGCATGCTCCAGTCACTGTCCTCCCCTCCCGGGGCCAGAGTCAACACGGGTTTTTCTTTTCTTTTCTTTTCTTTCTTTTTTTTTTTTTCCCTTCTTTCTTTTTTCTCGGCTTGTAGACTTACCAGTTTGCTTTCCAGCCGCCCAAAGCGTATCAGTGACCAGCTTGGACAACGTTCCACCGCCTATCTTGGCTGTTTGCCCATTTTTGGCAATTTTGACACCGCTCAGCTGCTTCATAAAAATCTCAATGCCACAATCCATCCTCCCCAGCGTCGTGAGCGCGCCATGCGCTGTGTTGTACGCCAGGAAAGGCACTTGCTTCTTGTTTGCAAATTTCACCTAGAAAGTCGCCATTGTTGTGATAAGCAATATCGTCAAAAATTAACCTAATCAAATATTGAAGAAAGGTACAATCCCACCGTTTCAGCAACGTCATTTGCCGTGCCTGGAACCACGACGACGTTCACTTTGGGAGTCTCCAGCACCGACCATCGTGTTGATGCGGCTTCGAACTCGCCCGAACCTGGGAGGTATATGTGAGCGGCGCCCGACAGCTTCTTCACAAGGTCCTTTTCCACGTCGTCAACCCAGCCGAGTCCTTGTGGACAGCTACCATCAACAGGGCTGCGGTCAACAAGCTCATGTACGACACGAGCTGCTGAGCTTGTCGCCCACAGGGCCAGGGCCGAGGCGATTTGTATCGGAAGCCAGTGCATTCTGGCACGGGAGAAGAAGAACAATAACAGAACACAAGGAATCCCTCAACAAGCTACCCCGGACGCATAACCGCATAGAGCATTCCTTGCCCTACAACGTGAGCGTCGCGGCAGCGACATGTATTTATTTGCCGGAAGTGACCTGGTCTTCCGGACGGGCCATCCCCGCTTCGGCAACCCTTGCAGGGATAGTTTCCGAATATGTACCCGAGCTTGGGAATCCCGGTGGTTTTGTGCCATGGTCGTAGAATCCAATTGGGTAGGTTGCCATTGAGCCAGGCCCGGCCAAGGCGTGGGATGTCGTGGTTGCATCCTTCTGCAGGGATCTATACCCTGTCATATCCTCGCTGGCCCCGGAACCCTCACAAAGTCGTTCTTCCCAGCCACAACAACAAGGGGCCGATATGCAGTGGTTTGGTGCATGCCGACGACAAGGACCGTTGATATCAATATCGAGCTGTCATATTACCCAGTCCTCTGTTCCCTACCCTAGTTTATCTCCGCCTTCAAGATACCTCCGAGAGTTTGCAATTCGGGCTCCATCGGGGACACGTCCAGTGGATCGTGAGAAGCTAAAATTGTTCGATCTCGATTTACTTTGTACCCCTGTCGTGTCCAGCCATCGCTGGACCAATATTTGACTTTCTTCATTCCAGCGATGATCCCTGATTGGCCAGTGACAGCGACTCCCTTTGCCTCAAAGTTCACAAGACGGCAGCCAGGGTCCTTTCTTCATCCCCGGGGCACAGTGGCAGGAACTCTACTTCGTATTGCGTGAATGCAAATTCCAAGATGAGACTACAAGGGGTGGAAACAGAGCATATGAAAATCTGTTGTTGATCAAAGACTTTCAGAATTTTGCTCCTGACTCCTTTGCGGATGGAAGGCCACATCATCACCTTTTTTCAATTCACGTCGACCACGCCGAGTATTGTGTAAGATGCGCTGAACATCTCATTTTGCATGATTATTCGCTTGTGATGTTGGCCAGGAGCCCACCGCCGGATCCAGCGGCGCAGGCTGCCGCTGAAGAGGCTTTCCGCAAGTCAACCATCGAGATATGGACGCTCTTTGCGATTGGAGTTTCCGCAACGGTTCTTAGGACTTCTGCCCGAGTGAGCGCTGTGGGTTTCAGGAATCTTCGTCCCGACGACTACCTGGTGTGGGTTGGCGTTGTTCGTGCCCCAAAATATCTGATCTGTCCCACACAATCTCAGCCGGGTTGCTGATTTACCCGTCAAAACATGTCCGCAGATACTCTACGCATGTCAATCGGCTCTCGGGTATAGCATAGGCAATTCTGCTAAGGGCCTCGCAAACAATAGCCTGACGGACGCTGAAAGGGCTGCACTGTCCATCAATGATCCAGAGTACCAATTCAGGTGCGTGTGTCTGTCCTGTGAATGCGGAGCTGAAGAGCGTACCGAGGGACACGGTCGGGGACATCAATAGACTGATCCTGAGTCGCTATTTAGGGTGATTGGCTCCAAAATACAGGTAGCCGGATGGACGGTATATTCGGGCTTGATCTCGGCTCTTAAGTTGTCGGTGCTCTCGTTCTACATTCGACTTACGGTATGCATAGCGTGCCTTCGATAACTCTCGACTTTCTTCTCCGTACCAGAGAGAAGGACTAACAAGATCAACAGGAGGGCCTTGGCCGACGCTATCGTATTCAGATTCAAATCGGATTCGCTCTTGTAATCGGAACTTTTTTTGGCGCTATAATAACAATCTTCACAGCTTGCCGGCCATTCCACAGATACTGGCAGATTTACCCAGATCCTGGCAGTCAGTTAGCCCTTCGTACTTTTCTTGCCGCTGCCCGTCCCCTGAAACTGACAGGCTTTTCCTATTTCTCTTTCTAGACTTCTGTCAGGCCGGAGTGTCCAAGCCAATCATATGGATCTCATTTGCGGCAAATGTATTGACTGACATCTATTTGATATTAATCCCTCTTCCCATGCTTTGGAGATCTAGGTTGAGGATGATTAAGAAAATAGCGTCGAGTATTGTCCTCGGAGCTGGTGTGTTTGTTCTCGTCTGCGCGACTCTAAAGAGTGTTTTTGTCTTAGTCGTGAGTCTTCTCTTTTTTTTTTGCCGTAGCAAACTCGGCAGGGCTCCTCTGACTCGCTCCAAGGACCCCGTCAATGGCCCCCAGCTTGCCGGCACATGGGGCGTCCGTGAAGCCTTCGTTGCAGTGATGACGACCAATCTCCCGATGATATTCCCCGTCATCCGCTCCTTGCTGACCCCGCTATTCGGCAAGGCCCTGGCATCGACTCAGAAGAAGTCCTACAAATCACCAGCCGGCGTCCAGACCATTGGCGGCGGCGGCGGTGGTTCTTCTTACAGCCGGAATCGTCATCGCCGTGAACCTCCAGATACGCTCACCACCGGCTTAACACTCAACGGGAGTGAGGAACGAATCGTGGAATGCAACATTAAGATGCAGGAGTTAGAGACGTTTGCGGCGCCGGCGTCTGTGTCTGCTGAACTCCCTTCGAGGGGCATCTTGGTCTCCAACTCAGTTGAGGTCCTGCACGAGGACAGAAGAAGCAGCCACAACGGCGAACATCGTGTGGAGCGTGTCCGTGAAGCTTGGTGACCACCTTGCTTCAAATGAGCTATGATGTCGAACGTGTACAGTTCGCTGGGTGCCCCAGGGAAAAAGAAAAGTAATGCCACTGTTTAATATTTTGTATCGTACATAGGTCGAAACTTTTATTTTTGTATATCCTTAAGCCGGTAATTTATGATTTCGAAAGACTTGAATGCGGCTTGTCCGTGCCTGAAATCAGAGTGGTCGTGAAGACTCTTATTTGTACTCCAGCAGCCCTGCTCCACGCTTAGCATACTCGGCTCCTTATTGACATTTAGCCGTCATCGATCACGACCATATATCTGACAGCAAGGAATACCCATGGCGACCAACCATAAGCGGGACGGCTGGTGGACAGTCTTGGCAGACGGGAGAGTTCGCGATTGATTTGGCTGCCGTTTGTTCCTGAAGTCTAACTTTGAGTTGATCAATATCTGCGTGCAATCCCGCCTTTCTGCTCGAAAACCGTTGAATACCAAAGCTTGCTTGAAATCCTGAATTGATAGTTATATAACACTAATAATGGGATCCAATACTGAGCAGTCTCCCGACAGAGAACTTTCCGTTCTCTTCGTCTGCCTGGGGAACATCTGTACGTCCAACCCCGCCCCCGCTCCCACACCCACTGGGCTTGCTTCTAAGGACATGTAGCTAACCGACAATCCTATCTCCTATCTCACAGGCCGTTCTCCAATGGCCGAAGCTGTTTTCCAGCACCACATCTCCAACCTCCCCACTACATCGTCCCTGAAATTTAAAACCATCGACTCCGCAGGCACGGGCGCATATCATGTCCACTCACCACCGGACCCACGTACGATGTCTACACTACAGCGACACAACATCACCAAGTACCGCCACGCCGCTCGTAAGGTTAATAAAGCGGATTTCAAAGAGTTCGACTACATTTTCGCCATGGACGATTCCAATCTCTACGACCTGCAAGAGCTGCAGGAGAAGGTGGTAAGGGACAACAAGAAGAAGGGAGCAGCAGCAGACGGCCTGGCGGAGTTGAGGCTGTTCGGCGACTTTAATCGCGACGGGAGTGTCTGCGAGAAAGTGGGTGGCGGGAAGAGTGTGCCAGACCCGTATTATGGCGGGAATGATGGATTCGAGGACGTTTTCCACCAGGTCGTGGGACATACGGAAGGGTTCTTAAAGTATTTGGAAAAGAAGTCGGAGGCTAACTGATGGATGGTCTTCAAAAAAAAAAGAAAGAAAGAAAAGGCTTTGATTCAAGGCGATGTTGCTTGTTTTTAAAAGATAATACCCCATCGCATAAAAGGTAGTAGAGCTACAAGAACTTCATTTAAAACATCCTTCGGAACACTTCAAGAACAAGAGTTAAGGCTTTTGCTAAGTAAAAATTGCGGTATATCCATTTACAATGCGGGACAGGAAACAGAGACAGAATATTAATACAAGCTTGGGTCATCAAAAAGCACATGCGTGTGTGAACTCATATCTTCTCGCTGATCTTGATTGCGGCCCTGCAGCCCAGACGAATGACGTTGACCAATGGATCGTACGGGTTAGCCTCTTTCGCATCGTTCTCGACAGCATGATCCAGATGCTCCAATTCCTCATCCCGGATCCTCTTCAGCGTAGAGACCAGTTCTTTCAATTCACCATCGATTTCTTCTCCTCTCTGCTCGGCATCGGCAAACCATTCCAGAATCACCCGGATCTGATCATTATAATGGGTCCCGATCTCGGTCTCAACGGCCTCCGTGCATGCCATTGCGGCCTCTCGCCCCATTATCCCCGTAGACCAGCCCAAGAACGTCGAGACGCCCTCCCAGATGGGGTACATGACCGTGGGTCGAACTCGATGCTTCGCTATCAGCTTGTTGAAGGTGTCAAAGTGACCGGCCTCCTGGTCATACATGTGCTTCATAAGCGGTCGAAGGTGTGGGTGTGAGCGGACCACGGGGGGCGACTGGGCGGTGTAGATCAGAGTGGCCGCAAGCTCCCCAGCCTGGTTGACTCTGAGGGCGCTGTCGAGAAAGTCACGCTGTTCTTTCGTCAGGGCCATCCTGGGTTTCTCTGCGGGCGACGCGGTGCGGTGGGAGGTGGTGGAGCTGTGGCGGACCCGTGGTTGGAGGGTGCGGAGGCATTGGGAGCAGACAGAGCCACGCACGAGGCGAGCGTGTCTGAGAAGAGCAGCGTGTACATCCATCTCCGGTGTTGGGCCAGCCGATCAGCCTGGCGGGAGTCGTAGAACACGACAGAAATACGTACAGTATGTACTCCGTACTGCCTGCTTGGGTTCGAAGGTACCTTTTTGAGTTAGTTACATACCAAAAGAGGCAGTTCGGAGGCCCGTTTCCGCGCCGAGACCTCCGATTGGCTGGTACGGAAAAACCAACCGGCGACCGCTGAGTCAGCAGGCCGTCCGCCGCCCCAGCAAAACCGACGCCGCGAAAGACGAACGCCAGGACGAACGACGACGGCAAAGGTTGCCAGCCCTGCAAACCGCCTGTGCGCTGCCATTTTTCCCTTTATTCGGGCCCCAGCCGCCTCCCGCTTATCGGCGCACACACCTCTGCTCCCGTATATATATATATATATATTGAATCTTGACTTCCAGCCCTGAGTAGCCAGGACTGCACTGCTGCATGCCGGTTCCCACCACCACAACCCCTATCAGCCGTCCATTGCCACCTCACCTCCTGCCCTGCCCCTCTCCCTGGATTTTATCCGTCGCCTGGAGCGCGCCTTGAGCCAGCTGCTGGCAGTTCCCGCCACCTTTGTCTTCCATCCCTTCTGCATACCCGTTCTTTGATACATCACCCATCCTCACTTTCACAATGGCAGACTTAGACGCCGAGCTCCTTGCCCTGGCAGGGGGTGATGATTCATCAGATGAGGAAACTTCCATGCCTGCTCAGTCAAAGGAGCTCTCTCCTCCCCCTTCTCCCTCCTCCAAAGAAAAGCAACCTGAGGATGAAGACGAGGAGATGGCGCGCAAAGGTGTTGCAAGGCCTGTCAAGCGAAGAAAAAGAGCGAGGATTGAGGAGGAAGAGGAGGAAGGCGAACTGTGAGTGTTACCAACATCCCCCTGTTTGTGTTCTCGCTTTCCCCCGCGTCCAGGCTGTCGCTTTATCTTCGTCCTTTTTTTTATTTTTTTATTTTTTTTTTTCCACACCCCCCCTTTTCTCCCTTTCCGCCCCCTCATATTCCTTTTCTTGCCCGCTGCTCACGGGCTACTTTGTCCTTTTCATGTTTTTTTTTTTTCTTTCCTCTTTTTCATCACTTGAACACCATTTCCACACCTTCCATGTACACCATTAAATTGTGTGAATCTCACTGACAGGCAAAAAAATGTCCAGGTCCTCTTCTACTCCTCGCTCCCGCAAGTCCCTGAACTCTGCATCCATGTCCGAATCCGAATCTGAGGGATCGCCTCCCGATGAAGATAATCAAGGCCCGATCTTTTCCTACGAAAAGCTGTTCTACTCCGCCAAAGACAAAGAAGAGATCATGGCCATGCCGGAGATTCAGCGTGAAGAGTTGCTTTCCGAAAGAGCTCAGCTCGTTGATCGCCACAACCAAGATATCGCGCTTCGTCGCCTCCTTGCCATGCGTGAACGGGAGGAAGCTAAGGTCGCTGAGAAGAGAAAGCGTAAGGCTTCCGATGCTGAAGGCCAGCGCAAGAGCGCTCGCCAGAAGACCACTCTAGGCGGTCGTAAGGTCGGTGAAACATCCGATGCCATCGAAGCCTATAAACGTCAGCGGGAGCAGAAGGGAAAACGTGATGAGCAGCGCCGTCGTGATGCTAGTAGTAGGAAGAAGGACGGACGTTCTCGCTCCCTGGAAGGCTCTGACGTTGACGCTCATGGTGAAAGCGAAGTCGAATGGGATGAGGGAGCTGCTCGCCGTTCTACTTCACCAACCAAGGACGATCCTCCAGCTGAATTCCGAGACTTCGAGCGTGCACGAGTTAGCCGTAGCAACTTTGCCCAATATTGCTTCTACCCGAATTTTGAGAAGCTTATCACTGGCTGCTACACTCGTATCAACGTCGGCCCACATCCAGATACTGGCGAACTTGTTTACCGCCTCTGTCTCATCACGGGTAGGCCTTGCGGAGGTTTTTCTGTTTGAACAAAATAGACTAATACATGATTTTCCAGATTTCGCCGAAGGTAGACCATATGCTATTGAAGGTCCAAACGGGAGGAAGTTTGTCACTAAGCAGTACGCTGTGCTTGAGCATGGAAAGTCGAAGAAGGAGTTTCCATATATTTTTTGCTCTGACTCTCCATTTACTGAGGTATGGAGTCCTAGGGTCCATGACATGCTTACCCTAGTTACTTTACTGACACTGAGATCTATAGTCGGAGTTCAACCGCTATCGTCAGACCATGGTCGTGGAAGGCTTCAAGATGCCCACCAAGTCAGTCTTGAACAAGAAGATTGATGATATTCACTTCCTTATCAACTATCGCCTTTCGAAGGAGGAACTCGAGGAAAAGCTAAAACGCCAAGGCACTCACGACAACAAAATGGCAGTCTTTCAGCGTCTTCAGCTGCAAAAGCGCCGTCAGGAAGCAGTTGCAACCGGTGATGAAGCTGCTATTGCTGAATGTGATGCAGAAATCGCCCGCTTGTCCGGTCCAAAACTGGCGTTTGGAACTTCCCTCGTGGAGCCTAGGTCTACCGAAAAGACACAGCAAGAACGATTGGCCGAACTCAACCGTCGAAACCAAAAGCTAAATGCCGAAAATGTGCGCAAAGCTCAGCTTGAGGAGAGACGAGCTGCTCGACTGCAGCAGGCAGCTGTTGCCCGTGGAGAAGCCCTTCCTGACCGGTTTGCCCGCGTCAAGACCCGAGCTCGAACCCACTACGATGCAAGTGGCAACCGTCTTTTGCCCAAGAAACAAGAATCTGGAGAAGTTAGCGGGTCTGTCACTCCACTGACAACTGGCGCCAATACTCCCAACAAGGCTACACCTCCTCCTGGTGTAAACCACGCCAATGTTACTAAGGAGACCAAGCCGCAGACTGGGATCCCGAAACTCCGTTACGCTCCCAATGCCGATGAAATCCTTGCTGCTTCCCTGGACTTTGAGATTGACATCGAAATCTAAGTTCCCTTTCCAGCCTCTAGATTTCATGAACACCTACAATGCGCATTGATGGCTTAATGGACTGATATGCGTGTACTTCTCTGCGTCCCCGGCGGTGTTTAAGATTTGTTTTTGGCGTTGGTTGACGGACATAATAAAACATTAGGTCAGATGCGTCCGGGCGTTGGGTACATGCAGGCTCTCTTTGGTTGGTTCCGGTGCAAGTGCATCGCTGGGTCCTCGTATGTACTGTACTTCCTATGTTTCACTTCGGGTTTTTTTTTTTTTTTTTTCTTCTACCGCCACGCCTTGATTTTTTGATATCTGGTTCATATGGACATTTCGGGGTGAGCGTACTGGTCCGAACTGAGGTAACAGAGGGACCACCCCGGATCAAAATTGGTGCTGCGAGTCATGTATTTTGTTCTTTCGGTGCCAGCCATTCATTACTATTGCGTCTCTGTCGAGCATTGCTAGAAAGTACGATAAAAAAAATATGACGCAGATAAAAAGCACTCGGCCTTAATTCTATCACTATACTCCGTACAATGTACAAATTATGTGCCCTGGTCATCCGATAGAGCATCAGAGTCGAGGGCGACACTGAATTTCGGGAGGATAATGCCCAGCTGGCCGCTAGTGCAAAAGCTGCAAACGCTGGAAATGAAGCTTATCGCTTAGTGACGTCACGCGTATTCTCAACGCGCTGGCGCCAAATTCGCACGCGACGGGCAATGCGACGCGCCAACAAGAACCCCGTTCACGGCTCAGTTGTCAAAACAACAATCCATATTGCGCAGCAGGCGCTCCGTCCACCGTCACATTGTTACTGATATGATATAAAGACCATCCATTTTCTATCCTTTACTGCTTATTTGAATCCAATTGCCAGGGAATGTCGAGCCCATCGACACCGCGTTCCAGCGCGTCGCGCCAGCATAGCACGGCTCATGACGGAGGTTCGCCCGACATTTTAACGCCTGGAAGAAAGATCAAAGCTTTACTTGCGGAGTTTGATAGCGATTCAGCTTCTGAGAATGAGGGCATTGCTGGCAATTCCCGAGAGAAGTTGGACCTCTTATCGCTAGAGAAAAGCCCCAGTGCAAAGAAGAATTCGATCAATGTCAGAAATTTGGACGAGGAGGAAGATGAAGATGAAGACGATATCCCGGTTGCGCCGAGAGGAAGATTGGCTGCGAGATTACAAGCAGCTCCAGGATCCGGCGTAATCCCAGTGGGGAGCCTTGTGAACGACAGTGCTAAGCGAGGAAATGTCTCGGACAGTTCTCAGTCCTCCTCGGGAGATATCCGTCCTGCTGCACGGAGGAGTCGACTTTTGAGACGAAACTCCGATATCATTCGAGATGATCAGTCAAATCGCGCTTCGTCGCCACTATTCGTGCCCCAGGACTCTCCCATACAGCGTATTGGCAGCCTTGTGCATGAGACCAGTGGCTCCGAAAGCGAGGTTGTCAACCCGCACCATCAGTCCCGTCTACAAGCCCTTGTTGCCCAAAAGCGAAAGGAAAGGGAGGAAAAAGAGCGGCTGGAAGCGGAGAAACAAGCTGAGCGGATGCAAAGACTCGCAGATGCAAGAGTGCAATTCACATCCGACATGGAAGATGCCGTAGAAGAGGATGATGACGACGAATCGTCTCGCAGACTGACGCAGCAATCGCGCCCTACGCGGAAGGCAAGCAAGAAGGCTCTGCTGGAAATGAGCCGCGAAACACAACGGATGAGCAGAAATATGCAACTGGCGCATCAGGCGACTACAAAAAAGACGTTTCCATTGAACAGTTTCATCGAGCGATTTAATCAAAAGTGCAACGTTTATCAATCGTCCCCCAACCCTGATTCGGCTTTAGAGTCGAGAAGTTCGGCGATCGCAAGCTCCGTCAACCATTCCGACAACGATAATGTCGAACAAGACAAGCATTCTACTCCTCCCACATCACCCTTGCCACATGTGCATGAAGGCAAAGAGGATGCTAAAGCTGCCGATCCAGTCGCTATGTGTACCGAAGAGGACATACCTGCAAGAAATCCAGAGAGAGAATTATCTGTTGCACTTGGGGCTCTCGATCCAGGGGTTACTGCTCCTATTTCCAAAAACTGTGCTAGTAACCCCAAAGAAAATATCTCATCATCGTCTACAAAGCAACCCCCGAGTTCACGCCAGATTCGGGTCCAGCTTTCGAGGCAAGATGTTGCTGAAGATCAGAAGAACGACTCTGATTCGGAGCTCGAGATAGTAACGTCGCCCGCAAAGGCGCGCAAGTTAGCTCTATTTGAAAATTTCTCCGCAAAATCTTCTATATTGTCCGACTCGCTACGAAAACTGAAGCTATTGGCGCGATTAACCTCTCCCAAGAAGAATAGAATGTTGACCCGTGCCGAGCACGAGGAATGGCTACTACGACAGGCAAGAAAACAAGCTGCTCAGGAAAGAGAGGAGAAAATTGCTGCGCTGCGAGCAAAGGGAATTGTCATACAAACTGCAGAGGAGAAGGCACGTCTAGAGGACGACGTTGAAAACCTTATGGAGAAAGCCAGGGAAGAGGCTGAAGAAATCGCGCGCAAAGAAAAGGCCGCAAGAAAAAAGGAGGCTCACGCACAGGATATGGAGCTTGACGATAGTGAGGATGCCGAGTATGAAGACGATGAAGAAGAAGGCGAAGAGGATTCAGAGGATGAAAATGACGAAGGGGAACTTGAGAGAGAAGATGAGCTCGCCGATGAAGATGAGCTAGGGGATGGAAATCCGACACGAGATGGGCGATTAATGGATGATCAGGCCACGGAAGCTGACGAATCTGAGGGGGAGCCTTCACAAGAGGAGTCAGAAAATGAAGAACCAATGGAAATATCACGTCCTAAAAGACGACCGAAATTCGTCGTTTCCGACGACGAAGACGATGATCAGCCCGCACTTGTTACTCAGACGCCCGTGAAACCGGTGATCCCAGGCCTTGAACAACAGAGAACTCCCCTTATCGGGCTATCCCAAGCATTTGCTGCAACTCTCGCTGATAACCGGGAAGATGATAATGAGCAGGATTCCCTTGCCGTCCTCCGCAAGATGCCAGAGTTTGACATGCAAGTTGGGGAACTCCTCGAAGCAGATTCCCAGGGAATTATCCACGAGAGTCAAGGACAAACCAGCGGAACACTTGATCTCCTTGCAGATTTTACTCAGAACGATGTCCGTGTGGCTGAATCCCCAGCTGCCAAGACAATGAGCGAGTATTCACAGATCCCAGAGCCGAGCCAGGACGTTGGATTTGTGATGTCGCCCTTCGATCAACAAAAACGCTTTTTAACTCAGCCTAAATCGACTATAGATACTGTGCTTGTATCTAAAGATGATTCTCCCATTGCAAAAACGGGAGGCAAGCGGTTAAGACGGGGTGCTTTGCGTCAAATGTCAGATGCAGAAGATAGCTTTTTAGTCAGGCCCAGTGCATTCGATATCATGCGCAAGGCGGCTCGGAAACCAGTGACACCCTTCGACAAAAAGGCAAGCAAGGCAAAAGAGGTCGTTGACGAAGCTGCCGAAGAGTCCGACGATGAATATGCAGGACTTGGTGGCGCAAGTGACGACGATTCGGGTGAGGAGGACGAGCTGGATTTAACTATGATCAACGATAACAGTGGAGAAATCGTGGATGAGCAGGAACTGGCTGCTCTGAATGCGTACGCCCTACTTCGTACCCCCTGATGAAGATATCATGCTAATTAATCTGAAACACAGTGATCATGCCCGGCAAAGGGATGAAGGAGACGTGAACAAGCTTCTTCGAGACATTACCACTGGCTCCCTTCGTAGAAAACGCGGCATGGGCGATGAATTAGACCTCTCGGATTCTGACGATGAGCGTATCGCAGCTCGTCGCCGGGCTAAGCAACGAGAATTTGCAAAAATGCGGAAAGCCCTCCTTGCTGATGAAAACATCAACAAAATTGCGGAAGACCCCAAGAAGCAAGCGTTTTTGAAATCCATTGAGGATAGGGATATGGACGATATGTTTGATTTCCTCCGTGATGAATACGGTGAATCGAATTCAGATACGGGCGCATTAATCGTCGAAGGACTCGACGATAGTCAGAGTAACAGTGAAGAGGGCATGCAAGATGGACGAAAACGTCCCTTGAATGCTGCTGGACCTGATTCGCTAAATCGTCCACCGGCTAAACTCCGTCGTACATCTAGACCGGGAAAGAAAAAGCCGTCAACTCTGGCAGAAATCCGCGCTCAGCTATCCTCTCTTATCGGCGAGTCAGGGTCGCACGATGCGGTGGAAGTCATACCAGATAGTCAGCCCGATATACCTCTCGACGACGAAGTCAGCTTTACTAATAAAGACGACTCATACGATCGTCCCGAGGCTTTTCGATCCACTAATCCCCGCCGACGTGGCAGAGTAGTAGACCGCCTGTCTTTACGCAGAGCTGCATCCTCCAATGCTGCCCTGTCTGCGATTGCCGGGCCTGGACCCGGATCCGGATCTGGGTCGTCTTCATCGTCTAAAGTCGCCTTCCATAGTTCGACCACAGTCCCTGAATTCAAACGCCCGCCACCGTTGCTTCTCCGGCGCACTACAACAAATTCGTCAAGTTCCTCTTCCTCCTCTTCGCGGCCCGGCGGCGCTGTCACGCCAGCTTCCATTGCAGTAGTGAAATCTGATGGTTCTGGTGCTAGTGGAGCCACAGTTAGCAAGAAAGGCGCTGTCAACTATTACGCAGCGGCAAGAGAAAAGGAACGAGAATTTCAATTAAAGAAGAACTTGATTCGAGAGAGCGTCGCAAGTAAGAAAGCCATGGAGGATCATAGGGCTATGAGGGAAAAAGGACTGGTGGGATTGCTGGGAGGTGCAAGCTGGGAATAATCGTGATATCTTTTCTGTTTCTGTTTAGTTCTTGACGCGCGCATGAAATGATACTGGAGACCACGAGATGTAATAATCTCACGGTGACTTGCTTTGTGTTACCCTTTCCCACGCCGTGGTCATTTTGCAAGAATTTGTTAGAATAGATTAATCAGGGCTGGACCCTGATTCGTCACCAATTTCATTACGAAGGCTGCTATGAACAAATGTCCTGCATCATTTACACGGTCACGTACCGCTTCCACCTGGCTCCGGTTTTCGTATAATATCCCATTCTACACTCACCAACCACACGTTTGTTCTCCGTGTTATTATAGAGCTTATGGTGTCGGACTCTTTAGGGTTGGCATTGTTATTAGAGGCATCACTAGTGTGGAAAGGCTCAATCTCCATGTCCCAAACTAGACCTCGTCGGATTCCTACCCAGTATCCTTTCTGGAGCTTCTGCATCGGAGGTAGAACAGTAGACACGGGAGAGCCGAAAAGGAGTATATTATTCTGGGAAGCAGTGGGAGGTTGTACTTTTGAAGGGGATATCAAGGTAAATGGAGCAGGGTGACCCAGTCTACCTTGCCGTTGTCCACCTTGTCTACGGACGTCAGTAGGGGCTGAAGTTCGAATTTCACCAACTTGGACAATTAGTTGGTATTTATCAAAAGGTTGCTCTCTTTCTCCTTGGTCGGCTTGGGTCTGAGTCGTCTGCAGAGGAGCTTGACTTTGTGACACTTGTTTCCTTGTACCTAAGTCTAGGATCCAATTTCGGACTTCGGATGCCATACCACCGGGAATAAATGTACGAGATTTAGATCGAGCATGGCGTTTGGCATATGGAAACGGGATAGGGCTTGTCAGTAACGCCGAAATGTCTGGCTCCCGCCGTCGAGAAGGCGTTTGAGGTAGCACAAATCGCGGTTTTGGCCGCTGTGTGGATGTCCGAGCAGTCGTGGCGTTATTGCTTCCACTTGGTTGCCGTGGAGTACTTGATATGGGTGTGCTAAACATAAACCGCGGGGGTCCGCGAGATGAAGAGTGGTGAGGTACACTAGTAGCACCAGTTGGTTGAAATGGAGTAGACAATAGGTTATCCACATTTCCAGCTGATGGCGATGCCGGGCCCGCCTGCGGAGACGATGGTGGTGATTCAGACGAAGTGGATGAGATTTGGTCAAGCTCTCTGGCACTAACTGGCCGCACTTCCAAGTCGTCTGCTGAAGATATCGATAAGCGTCGACGTTTCGACTGATGCTGACTTGGAGAGAAGGAAAGAAGCATCTCTTCGTCATCGTCGTCCGCCACAGGTTTTCCAGGTTCATTTTCTGGACGGCCGCTACGAGAAGTTTCCACAATGCCTTGAAGCATATCACCTTCCTCTTCCCCTTCAGAATCTTCAATTACCTCCTTCATCTTAATTTCAGGGTTCCTTGGCGTATCTTGAATAGTCTTGCGCGCCCGGGCAGCAGGCGAGGACTCTTTGTCACTAACATCTATTCCGTCTCCAGACCTTCTATTCTGTCGCTGGCTAAACACAAATCGAGGAGTCGCGGCGAGCTGTGCCGCAAAGCCTGATTGTGCAGATGAGCTAAATATGAATTTTGGCGTCCGTGCAGTTGCATTAGGTCTTTCATTGGACTCGGCCCGGGAGGTGCACTGTTTGTTGGAGTTGACATCCTCTCGCGATGGTGTCTAAAGCAATCCGTGAGCCACTTTTCCTACATAGAGCGCGGCAAGCACTGACATATTTGGAACTCATGTTGCATAGCTCATAAAGACGATATCAATCACATCACGTATTATCGTGCCCGATTGTTGCTCTTTTGCACGTTGAAATTCCCTTTAGGACGTCGCGACCTCGAATCCGCTTAGTCAGATTGCGCTTGGCGTGGGTGAGGTTGTAGAGGAGCTGACTTTCCGCTCCGCTCCACTCCACCCTTCCTATCAAAACGTCCATTTTTCCCCCAAAAGCTATGCTACCGGTCCGCCACCCCAGAACCCTCCTCCTAACCCTGGATGCCTTCAACACCATATTTCACCCGCGGCAGCCCGTACCTGAAATCTACACACATGTCGCACAAGACCTCGGCGTCATCCCTTCCACAATAACCGCCGATGCGGTAAAGCCGGCGTTCAGGACCGCATTCAAGCGCAACAGCGCGCAGTACCCGAACTATGGTCGAGATACTCCTGGGTTTGGCGGACCGAAAGCATGGTGGGGCAAAGTCATTCGAGAGTGTTTCGCTCAGGTCAAAGGGGGGAGTACGACGGTAGACGAGATTCCGGATAGGTTGGTGGAAACGCTGTTCACCGTATTCGGGGGAGAGGCGTATAAACTGTACAATGATGCAGAGCCATTTTTCAGGAAATTGCAATTGTGGAAACAGGCGAAGAGGTCCCGAAACGTTTCCCAAGACCTAGTTAGGGAAGACTGTTGGGATCGGATTGTCGTTGGAGTTATCTCCAATTCGGATGATAGAGTCCCTACGATTTTGAGATCAATGGGCTTGCGGGTCGGAAGTGCGTGGGCGGATAACGGGGATTTGCTTCCCCCTGCCGATGAAACGCATGATGCGATAAAGCAGGAAAATGATATTGATTTTATTGTTACGAGTTATGAAGCTGGGAAGGAAAAGCCGAATAAGCATATTTTCGACGTTGCCCAAAAGCGTGCAGGCGAGTACCTGAATGCCACTAGCCCTGCTAAACGTCCACTCTTCCCAGCTCCGAGCTATTATTGCATTCATGTTGGGGATGATTATCACGATGACTATCAGGGAGGACAGAGTGCTGGTTGGGATAGCTTTTTACTGCTAAGGGAAGATGTTGAAATCCCAGAACACGCACAAAAGTCTGCACGCTCAATCTCTAACCTTGATCAGTTATTTTCTTTATTGCGCATGGAGGATCACGATGGAAGGTTGGTATAGTTGTTATGATTGTATCTCTTCAGACAAGCCTGGTTTCGGGTGATAAATACAAACAATGCAACCCGCGGATCTTCATGATCCCGCACCTTCGGATATCACTTTCAACGTGTCCAGCGCGAGCTTGCAGCCCCATTTAAGCAATTTCTTGTCCCGTCTTGAGGCCACCACATCTGATTTCGCGACGACTTTGCGGATAAAATATATCAACCCAGTCACGACCTGCGGTGTATCTCGCGCTTTTAAGAAAACGTTGACAAGCGGTTTTTCTTCAAAGGTAAATTGAGTGGATTCGCCTGCTTTCTGCTGCTTGCGTAATGACTTTTGTTGGGTTTGCTGCATTGTTGTGATCAGCAGCAGTTCAACGAAGGTCCTAGTCTTGGGTTGCAGATACAAAAAGTCAAGTGTCTTCAAAATTCCAAGCGTAAGGCCTCCATCGGCTATCAATGAGCCGTACATTTTGGCAAGGTTAACAATGGCTCGCGTGGTCAACGACCGATCTTCATCTTCGTCCGCGCTGAAGTCATCGTCCTCCATATTCCCACTCTCGCCCATTCGTTTGAATACGTCCCAGAGCGAGAATTGGAACGCCATTTTCATCTTCCTCTCGCCGCAGAGTTTCCTTGCGATGAGGGTATAGTATGGGTTATAGGAACCCTCCTCCGAAGCACAATGGACGAGAACCTGAGGAATCTCGGTCTCCTGACTTCGTTTTAAGCGCAACTTGGTCAGCCTAACATGCGCATCCTGATAGTCGGATGCAGACATTATCGCTACAAAAATAGACCGCCGGACCTCGGTGTTCATTCGATGGCTTCTGGCCAGTTGGGCAAGATCCATGGCTTTCTTATCGCCCAGATCATTGTCCAAATTATCTGGGAGAACTGCACTCGGGTCAACAGTTGCCTTGTGAGTATATGTGCTAGCGGAGTCTGCTTTCCAACTTGCGCCAACAAGCCACCATTTCCCCCTTTTGTCGGAGTTTTGGATATCGGCACGTCCAATCCTCAAAGGCTCGCTCGCTCTGAGACTTCTCGAGTTAAGAGAGCCCAGAATCTTTCTCATCTTTGTAAGGTGTTCTAACGATATGCTTGCTCCTGGGGCATTTTTCAGCTTGTTATTCTTAAGGTCAGTGATCGTTTCGATCATGAACTTCGTGCGAACTGAAAGAGCCGCTTCTCCTATTTGCGCTACTGCTGGTTGAATTAGGAGAACAATGTCCTTGAGGGCGGAAGGATCGTCCTGTCGAAGTTGGGGACCGGAATCTATGATATGTTAGCGTTAGGATAGGTTACAATTAGATAGGGAACGAAGAACATACTTCTCACAACCTTCAGGAGCAGCTCAGTGTTCAACTCGTTAATTTCTCCCAAGAATAAGCGAATATAGTCAAACACCAAGCCGCATCCGAGGAGGTGGAAATTATAGAGATGGGACAACAGCGACAGCAAATTAACCATGTCTTTCCTACTCGACTCCCCTTTATCCTTCTCCTCGTACATGCTATCGAATCGCTGCACGAGATTCTGCACAAATTCAGCACCGAATTCCATGCCGATCACTTTATATATCGCCGCGATGAATCCCGCGTGAAGAATTATAAAGGTGTCATTTAGGCTGCTCCCGCTGCATACCAATCCGAAGAGTATGTCTATCAGGACAGATGTTACACTCTGGCGGGGATAGTCTTGGTAAAGTTTCTCCATATCACCAAGGATAGATATTATATTAGCCTCCGATAGTTTATTCAAATGTCCTTGTATTTGGCGTCGTAGACGCAAAAGAGATTCCGATTCAGTGGATGATTGCATTCTTTTGGATGGGGGAATGTATTTGGCTGGGGCGGTGTCACTCGCAGCGACGGGAGGGCGGTACGGGTTCTCTTTCTGTTTCGTTTTCTGCGGAGCTGATTCCTCCTCCTCCTCCTCCTCCTCTTCGTCGTCAAAGCCTTGAAATTCACTATCTCCCTCACCAACACTATCGTCGTCGTCGTCGTCATCAAAATCTTCTAGCATCTCGTCAAAGTCCTCTTCGTCTTCATGCGCGTCTTCACTTCCAGTAATTTCCTCCTCATCTCTATTCCCCACCTCTATCATTTTTGACCTTTGTCTTTTCCTCTGAAGCCATTCCTCTCCCTCTCTTTTCCGCTTTTTCGCTTCTATCTCCGAATCCGACCCCAACTCGCCCAAGATGTCGCCCAACCCGCTTTCCAGGAAAGATTTAGGCAATTTCTTTTTCCCTTTAAGGCCCAACTTTTTCTCTAAGGCCGCAATCTCTGCATCATCTTCTTCGAGCTTCTTTTGCACGGAGCGCGATATCTTGGGGTGGGGTGGCGGGTTCTCAGCTTCGGGGGTTTCGTCTTCGTTCTCCCCTTCGTCAAGGTCAATTTCAACGTCTGATTCTTCGTGTCCCTGTTCGACGGGCTGCATCCGCTTCAATATTGATTTTAACGTCCTTGGCTCTGCGGGTGTTCTCGTTTTCGGCTTCGCCGGGCGTTCATCTTCGCTCCGTCCGGATTCTTCGTCAAAAACATCGTCCTCGGGCCCATCCCCGCCTTGTGACCTTTGTCTGCGTTTATGTCCCTTTCTCTGCTGAAATCCAGGCCCCCTCCGCGATCGCTCTGCTTTCCGGCGCTCCTTTCTGGAGAATCCGCTGTGAGGGTTCGAGCTTCTCGCGCCGGTTGTGATCGTATCTTTCAAGCCTAGTTCTTCGCGGAGCTGTCGGGGGAGCTGTGTTGTATTATATGCCGGTCGTGGCATGGCTGCAAGAGGTATTCACCGGCCGTAGAATCGTAGTTATGTCCGAGAAGGACGGCGAATACAAACTTATTGAGCGTCAGCGGTTTTTTCGTTCCTGAAATTTAACTGCGGCCCCGTGCGTCTACAGCGGAATTTCTGGTCTTGGCGGCATCAACCGCCGCAAGTGAAGGACAGCAATCACCCGGACGTCAAATCCCATTCCGCAAGCAGCAGTGTGCGACGAGAATCACAGGGATTTTCATTATCTGTCGTTCATCAATAAATCCTAGCATAATTCTAGAGCTGCTCCTTGCTTTCATTACAATTTGATCCTCCCCCACAAACAACCTCGCCATTATGACTGCGCATCTGTCCCAAGATGAGGTGAGTCGAATCGAACACACAGATATACACACACACTCTCTCTCTCCCCCCCCTTCTCCCTTTTTATCCCTTTCCACCCTATGAAACTAATTAACCCCATGTCATTAGTTCTTCACGCACCTCACAGCGCTCCTAACCAACCAGTCCACCTCCCTCCGTGGCTCCGTCTTTCTCACTCAGAAGCTCCTTCCAGCCCCACCACCAGACCGGTCCACGACGACAACCACTACACAAACCACCGCCAGCGCTGAAGCTCCCTCATCCGCAGAGAGAACAACCACGACAACCACTTTCCAACCCAACCAGTCTGCGGTGCTAATCCGTGCTTCAAACGGGCGCCATAAGACCGCCAAAGTGAAGGCTTCCACGATCGTACAACCGGAGGAATTGGAGGCGTTCTATGCCAGATACGCCGAGCTGTGCAAGGCGGGGATGGTGGGGCTGAAGAAGAGAGATAGAAGTGCGAAGAAGAAAGGGAAGGCGAAGGGAAAAGTGGCCAAGGGATGACTTTGCGACTACTCCCGACGGTAGCGCGTTGTGTTGGTATGGTATGCCGTGGGGGGGAAAAGAAGAAAAACAGATCTACGTGAGATTTTCTACGGCCTTTTTTTTTTTTTTTTTTTTTTTTTTTTTTTCCTTGATAATTGTGGTGCATGCGTTTGGCGTCTTTCTGGGGGGTTTGGGGCTCTTAATTTTTTATTTTTTATTTTTTTTGTTCTCACGAGCATGTTAAAAATAGTGTTTATTTGGCAAATGTTCCACTGAGCATCGGACTACAGCGAATATGCGAGCGTGTCATATTCCTCCTCGGGGGTTGGACCCAGTAACGTTGAGAATAAAAAGCAAAGTAGAAGTACATACATACATGAGAAATATATCAACGAAGTCGTGCCACGTACATACCAAAAGCTAAACCAAAATACAAAAATGTATTGTCCCAACGAATATGTACACGTGGGCCGGAAGCCGTGGTCACTAATGCGTAAGTAAATCCCAGGTTGGATGAGAAAACATCCGAAGCGGGGAATGAGAGACAAAAGAAGTCTGCGATCTCAGTCTACTTCACTCGAGGATTCTGAGGTTGTAGGGGAGTCTCTGCTCAGGTTCGCAGAGGCAATGGGAGAAAGAGGATTCCCAAAATCATCCTCGCTGAAAGAATCGTCGGTGTCGCTCATAGTTTCAGGCTGAGTAGGAAATTTCCCAGACCCAGGACCAGCTGGGCCGCGATTATTATCTTTAGCGGCCATTTCTGCCGCAAGTCTGAGGAACATAAGTAAAAGGTGTATAGGAGGCCCAAGAACGAATGTGTAAGTTTTTTCGAAAATGGCATCAATTAAATTATTAACCGGCGATTTAGGGGCGGGCGTAAACAATGTTGAAGATGGCGGTAAGGGAGAGAAAGAGCGCTGCCGCGATGCACGAATGCGTCGGCGGATGATCGAGTTGGGATTCTCAATAGGAACCTCTAAACCATTACGAGTTTGTACTCGATGAAATAAGTCGCCCGGTTCACACGACGTGAGGGGCTTTGGCGGATCGCTGAGAGCCATGGACGGTGGCCGGAGAGGACCCGAATCATGTGTGGTGTCGGGTACGATGGTCGCTGCAGAGTTGTCGCGAGTATGGCTAGCTTTCAAGATCACACACGGCGAGGGTTCGCAGGCGGATGCGCGGGGAGAAGGTGGCGTGGAATAAGGCGGCGAAGGAGGAGGAGAGACAGAAGCATCAGAGACCGAGTGGAACGAAGAAGCACTCGAAGCGACGCCCGCGCTGCCATCACGAGCGTCGTTGACGGTTTCAGACTCAGACTCGAATCTCGCGAGCAAAGTTTCAAATTTTGGTGCAGGCTCAGAGACCACTCGGAAGCTGGACCGCTTGGGG